GTATCACTAAAATATAGCTCTAAATAGGCATGTTTTATTGCAAGGCTGGAACTCTCAAACACCTCCTGTCACTTAATGTTGTGAGACTGAAATGGAGGACAGGGAAGTCAGCCAAGCCGAAGGGACACAGTTCCACCTACACAGCTTTGCACCTTTGTCATGTTTCACAAATCATTGAACGCCGATCTCCGAACAGGTGTCTCCCCGGCAGAGTTCTCACCTGTTGTTCACGCTGCATGCAACGGCGTGATAAGTAACCGGAAATAAATAACCAGGTCTGCCTCGAGACAAGCACACGGGCCCTAATTAAACAGCGTAAAGCAGTTAAACTGTGCTTATAGCAGGTATAATGTGCTGCTTCAAGCTGCCAAGTTCCTGGGAGATCGTCGCAAAAACTAGATCCAAATACGCAAGGCTGGAAAAGCTCGGAGCAGCCACCTCACAGGACGACTGTGTGAGCAGAATGCTATGCTCCGACAGGCTAATTTATCATTGTCCTGTTGCCAGGGCAACTCGGAATCATGTGATCCCCGGGCAGTGTACTGGTGACTAGTAGAGAGTGACTCTGGTTTAATGAGAGGCTTCCTGTGATGAGAAAGGCAAACTGACATTTCTCATAATAAACAAGCTTCACGGCGTTGACGGAAAACGACAGTCAGAATCTCCTGTTTGTCCTTTCTCCCTTTCGTGTTGTGATAGTTGCACAAAACACCCATGCCTTCCTCCTAATTCCGCTTATCGAAATGAGTCTGGAGTTGTTTGTTTGCTTCTGTGTGTGATTTGTTTGTCTGTTCGGGCGTGTGTGTTTGCCTGTCGGCCGCTGATGAATTTAAATGACGTTCGCGAGAGCGCTGCCGCCGAGCAACACTTTCTCTTTGTGACACGCTGGCTGGCTGCTGCGTACATGCTCGCAGGCTCTGTGTCTAATGATGGAAGGGCCATGGAGCAGCCAGGATTCCTGCAGATCCGTGGTGTAGGAGAGCCCCCCTGTTACCCCTGCTGACAGGCCCTGCGAGATGAGCTCAGCTCATTTGCAGGATTTACTGAATTTCTGTTGCAGACAGACAGCAGGAGTGGCAGCGCTCGACCGGATTTCTCAAAGAAACAGCCTTCTGTCTTTTCACTTTTCGTGCCTCTCCATCGTTCCAGCCTCGCTCTCGGTTAACGTAATGTAGGCGGGTGTTTCTTCTACCATGGGCGCTTTTGGTCTGGTGAAGCAATTAAACTGCCTTCAGACGACTTTTAAAATTCATTGGCTCATTAATTTGTATACAAGCAGTGTCTAACAAAGTATATACTGTATATTTCCACCACTAATCATTCTGTGATAGAAATGGCCATTGTGCAAGTTAAATTTTTTGTTTGTCTTCTAAGGCTAATTTCATAGCTAGGATTTGATATATTCTAAATACACACAATTAATTAACATTTTAAAAAACGACAATAGAGTGGGGGAACTATGACGTCAGAATCCGGGAGAGTAATTTGCCGCTGATTCCTTCGAGATTTTCCTATGAGGTTTTATAATGGGGTTTTTCAATTTATTTGTAAAATAAAGCCTGTGGTAAACATAACTTGACGATACTTTTACGTTTTGTTCTACAATGTAAACTGCACACACTCACAGCCCAAACGTTCTTATCTAATTACTTATTAAAAACATACGTTTTCAAAAATTAACATAGCTGCTTGAAAATTTGTGTTTTGGGTATGGATGCGTGTAATTTACGTTGTAGAACAAAATGCCAAAGTATTGTCAGGTTATATTTACCACAGGCTTTATTTTACTCATAAATTGAAAAAACCCATTATAAAACCCCATACGTACACACCCTCTCCTCCTCCTCTTCATCCTCCACCCTCCAGCAGCGAGACGTGCGGCGAGATCGCAGCCCTCTTTGACCTCAAGTACAACATAAGTGGCTTACTCAACAGAGCCCAAAACAGACTGTTTTCCTCCTCTGCAGGTCTGTAATCCAGAGGGGTGTCGAACAGCCTCAAAGAGCATTATTCATCTCTGTGTGCATAATGCTACGTAAGGAGGGATTTTAAAAGGGCTCGCCCGGGGGAAACAAAGAATGTGATGCTCCCGCTCTACTGGTATAAATCTGGTCAAATCAGCAAAAAGCCTCATAAAATAAACCTTTTACACATTTATGTAACCAAATGAATTCAGCATTAAACAGTTTATAATGTCCAATACGTTTACATTACTTTACACTTCATTTAATGTGTGACAGTGTTAGACCGCAAGAAAGACAGAAGATGAGAGTTAACAGCTGAATTAAGAAAATTAAGGTCCTAATTGAATCTTTGTAGTAATCTTTAACTCTGTTTTAATAAAAATCAAAACAATGTTGATCAACCAACAACATTTTTGTAATCCCACGCTTTTGTGCTATTACAATTTGTAGGTTAATCAATAATTATATTATGTAATTATAGCTTTTTTCTTTAAGTTGTATTTTATTGTATATAAATTAAATGCCTACACCTTTTGCACTGTTCCTCCACATTATTTTTTCTTCTTCTTTTTTTCTAAAGCAAGTGTACTGTGAAATATAATATGGAAAGTAGGTCATCTTTTTTAAGCGTTATTTAATTAGTGCAGCGTCACAGCTTTTGTGCTTGAAGTTCACACCAGGGTCACGTTTCTGGTTTTTGGCTGCTAAAGAGATTTTTGTCAGTTTTTAAATATGGATCAAAATTTGACAGTCTTTGTTTATGCTACTTTATGCTTTTATTTTTATTTTTTATTTTTTTTAATCTAATAAATTATTTTAAAAAATATTTTGTACTTAATATAGTTTTAGTATAGTAGTATATAGTTTAAAAAAATAAAATAAAAATATAACTAGTTGAAATAAAAAAAGTTTCTGTATTTTTTATATATATATATATATTATTATTATTTATTTTTTTTCACATTGCTTAAAAGTTCATGTTGCAAATATTGCAGCATAATACTATAGCCAGTCTAGGGTGTCTACTGTATGCTAGAGTATGTTTTGTTCATTAGCCAGAAAGCTTCTTTACATATGTTTGTTTCCTCTGTTTAAAGGGGTCATATGATGCGATTTCAAGTTTTCCTTTCGTACAGTATTTGAAAAATAATGTGTTTTTTGAACATTAAAGCATGTCAACATATTCTGTTACACCAAATACACAAAATAATGATCTTTAAAAAAGCATCATATGACCCCTTTAAGAGGCTGATCTCTCTCTCTCTCTCTCGTTCTTTCTCGTTGTCTCGCTCACTGTGGGGTGTAATTGGATGTTTTAATTGGGTTAGATTCTACAGCTACAGTTCCAAACTGCAGGTGTAATCTGGGTTTATGCTGGCCTGACATTAAGCAGTTTTGCATGGGCATCCTGGGAGAAGCCGGGCTCCTCCAATACTGTGCCAGTGCTGAGATGTTCTATGGAGATTTATTGGCTGCTCAGAACTGGACATGGAAAGAGGACTAAGAAATACAGGGGGGAAAAAAACTACAAACAGTCAGAGAAAGGAAAAGCCAGACAATAGAAACAGGAGGAGAAAAAGCCATTCAGAGCTCCTTCAATTAGCAGATGGTTTATGAAGCAGCAGTAGAGCATGATGGATTGGGCCACTGGAGTGGTTTGGATAGTACAGCATGTTTCACATTAGAGCTCAAGTACTTCTCATCCTGTATTTGGACAGTGTAGCCCGCTATAAAACAATGTGTAGTTGGCAGAAAGTAGCACTTTCATTCTGGTGATGCTAAACAGATGCTTTTTCAGTTGCCATTATTTTAATATTTTTATGTGTCAGCCCATTCTAGAAAAAGTTTATTTTATTAATTTAAATTTGAAAACGCACATTTTTATTTTCTTACAATAAATGTATTTCATACTTTAGAACAACTACTGTAGTCAACCTACAGTTTTGCTGTTGCAATTGGTAATATTATTTTCACACCAAACTATTCTAGATATATCTAGGTTTTTTTTCATTAATTTTTGTGAAAAAATGTGAAGTCCAATGTGGGAGAAAGGTAAGCAGTCAGGCAGGCAATGCTTGTAATCATTTGACGAGACCTGACAATGAATGACTGAAGTGCAGGTTTATAAGAGCTAGTTCTAATGGACGAAATAGGTGCAGATGATCAGTAATCCGGTGATTGAGATCGGGTAAGTGTGGTGATGGGATCTGGTGCTGAGGAGTTGACAGATTCTGTGACAGTACCCCCTCCTCCACAAGCGGCTCTCGAAGACCAAGGTGGACAGCGACGGGGATGACCTCTTCCTCTGGGTGCAGGGCGATCTGGGTGGTTGGTATAGATCTCGGTGAGTAAAGACAGGTCCAAGATATCGTACCGAGGGACCCAGGAACGTTCTTCTGGTCCGTACCCCTCCCAGTCCACTAGATATTCCAATTGACCACCTTGTCTCCGGAAGTCCACAATGGTGTTGACCTTGTTTATGGATCCTTCGTCAGACTTGATGGGAGGAGGAGGCACATCTGAGGCACCAGATCCTGTGAGAGAAGGAAACAGAGGGTGAGTATACGGTTTTAGTAATGAAACATGGAAGGTAGGTGAAATGCGGTACTGTGCAGGTAAGTTAAGTCTAAAGGTGACTTCATTTTTTTTTCGTTGGATGGTGAATGGACCGATGTAGCGGAGACTTTACTTACGACAAGGAAGCCGGAGACGGATATCCCTGGTGGACAGCCAAACCTTTTGTCCCGGGTGGTATATGGGGGTGGCAGATCTTCTAGCATCTGCCTGGCTCTTATGTCTCCATACTGCCCTCTGTATGTGTATATGTGCCGAGTCTCAGACCCTCTCGCTTACCTCTAACCAGTGGTTCACAGCTGGAACATCTGAAGGCTTTCCTGACCAGGGAAACGGGGGCAGTTGGAAACCGAGTACACACTAGAGAGTTGTTAGATCTGTGTTGGACTGGCGTAAAAAAATTCTGTGTGTACTCGGCCCAAGGAAGAAATCGGTTCCAGCTGTGTTGATGGCTGTGACAGTATGACCTCAGGTAACGGCCGATCTCCTGGATCTTACACTCGGTTTGACCGTTGGTTTGTGGATGGTATCCTGATGAGAGGCTGACCGAGACTTCCAAACCCTTCCAAGGATTTCCAAACCCAAGAGATGAATTGTGGCCCCTGATCTGATACGATGTCCTCTGGGATACCAAAGTTGCGGAAAAAGTGCTGGAACAAGGCTTTTGCCATTTCAGTGGCAGAAGGGAGACTTTTGAGGGGGATTAGACAGCAGGCCTTGGAGAATCTGTCCACAGTGATGAGAATGCAGGTGTGATTATCAGATGGGGGCAGATCGGTTATGAAATCAATTCGATGTGTGACCATGGTCGCCTGGGAATTGGGAGTGGAACCACTTTTCCTTCGGTCAGATGATGGGGAGTCTTTGAGATGGCACAGGTGGGACAGCCTCTCACAAACTGAGCAACATCCTGGATCATTCCAGGCCACCAATATCACTGACGGAGGAGCGAGAGGGTCTGTTGGCTGCCTGGGTGTCCAGAACCCAGAGAGGATTGCATGGAGTCCATGAGCGTTATTCACAAGATGGATGGTATGTAGGATCTTCCCTCAGGACCTCCCGTCAAAGCCGGTTCGGTTCGATGGGCCTCAATTATTTGGTCATCCAGGGACCACTGAATGGGACCGACAATTAAGGCTGGAGGGAGTATGGCTTCTGGAGGGGTTGGATTGACTTCTGGAGAGTGTAATTGGTAGGGCTGGGTATCGATTCAGATGTCCCGATTCGATTCGATTTCAATTCGCAAGCTCTCGATTCGATTCGATTCTCGATTTTTTTTATTACATTCAGTGAATATAGTTTTAATACAAATTATCAAATCGACGTCATTTTAAAAAACGATTAATCGAAAAAACAATTTTTTTTGCCCAGCCCTAGTAATTGGGATAGGGTATCAGCTTTGAGGTTCTTCTCACCAGGTCTATAAGTGACTTTGAAATTGTCCCAGCGTGCTTGCCTTGGATTGAGGTGACAAGTTTCATGGAGACATTCTAGATTTCGATGATGACTTTGAATGGATATTTAGCTCCCTCCAGCCAGTGTCTCCACTCCTCATGGGCCAACTTTATAGCCAACAGTTCCCAGTTACCGATGTCATAATTCTGCTCCGCCGGGGACAGTTTCAGGTTTCAGGGTGGCACCACTCTCCATATTCAATTTAGCATTCTTGTCTTCTGTCAGCACACACAGAAGAGGAGACTCACTTAAACATTCAAGGGATTTATTAAAGATAGGTAACAGGTAAGTATGACAGGTAACTTAACATTCTACAAATATTTTATTTTGTTTTATTTATGTACATTTATAATACATGATTTAAATTTTTTTTTTTTTTACTTTTTATATGTATGTGTGTGTGTGTAATGTCTATAGCCAGTATCCTTTAGTTTTTAAGGTGCTACTATTATTTTTGCATGTCGGCCTATTCTAGGACATTGACTTTAATTAATCTGACACTTGAGCAGAATAGCAAGATTTTTCTATATATATATATAAGATAGTTGAACAGATTTCATGAATGTTTTTTTCTGTACTATGAATTTCTTTAGAGCTGATGGAGATTTTCTGCCTCAAATAGTTTTAAAATCAATCTTCAGGGTCTTTATGACAATAACCTGCACTATTAGTTTGTTTGACATTCTAAAAGAGTTTCTTTTTTGAAGACTGAATATGTTAATGTTGTACTTTTTTTAGTCCTCTGTCCCCTTTATCTCTGCTGAGGATGACCTTTGGTTAGTTCTCACCCTTTCATAAAACATAGAGCTAAAGAGAAATAACATCGTTTTTATACCGTCTCGGCCAATTAAGTGGTAGTTGGTGGGCAGCCAGATATTTCACTCTAGTCTTGACCAATTGAAAGAAAAAAGGAAACCTGAAAGGAAACGTCCAAACTGTAGAATTAATTTTCAGACTGTTTAGTACACAGGCTTCATTCAAAAGTCACAGGACCTGATATACATAAATTGTCATCGGCGCTGCATCTTTCTGTTTAGCTTGAGTGACAGTGGGCCTAATCATATATAATGGAAATGAAGTCTAGGAAGCTTGTTTGTGGGTCACAGGAAAAGGTTTCTCGTTATCAGCGTGCAGAATCAGCATGCTAAATGCTAGCAGACAAGCTGTTTCCAAGCATTGTGGCAATAACAAGAGGCTCCACACAGCCAGAATGAAATCGGAGTCTCTATGCGACACCAGGCCTGTAATTTGTAAGCTCCTTTTCACCTCAGTTAATTAAAAGCCATACAACAGAGAATGCCTGCACTTTACCATAAAGCAGGTTGCTGGAATTAGATGAATAAGAGATGAGGGTTGACATACAGCCTCTTCAATTTCACACAACACAGATAGCTTTGGGTTAGCTGTAATTATCTGCGGATGTGTCCATTAAGGTTGGGGATGAAGTTTTAATCTGATGTTATTATGCAGAAAGGATGAAATCATAATGCCTTGGCTGCTCAGGGTCTCAGTGTAGTGTCTTGAAAAGCCTTTGAGGTGCCTTGAGTTCCGTAGGTGTTTATCTTTGAAAGGAACTCAGGTGTGTGCTCAAAGCAAGGTTCATTAGTGTAATAAGTTTGTGTAGCACAAAATAAGTTACACAGATTTGATTGTGACCTCTTCGTATTTAAAGGCGTGTAGAATCAATATGGACGGCCGAGATCAGCTTTCATTTTCATTAAGGATCACTTTTGGAGACTATGGCTGATCGGCAGGGGAAATGACAGAGACGACAGAATGCAAACTTCTTTTGAAAGACAAGAGGGTCGATTTAATTACTGTTCAGATACTTTATAGACATCTTAACTTCAATCGCCGTAATGGATTGTGTGTATGTCTTTCAGAGCTATCACACTGGTAAATTACTGGTTAAAGATCAGGAATGGTAATCCAATGTTTGTTGGTCCAAACCATAAATGTCAGTTTGTGAACTGGAAATTACAAAGATTGAGTTTCTGAGAAAGTTATGTATTTCTAAGTCACTGTCTATGAACTGTTCTATTAAAAGTCTCTTTTTAATAACTAATTTAGTAGTTATTCACTTAGCCAGATTAAAAGTCTAATCTATCCTTCCTTCCTTTGGCAACTTTGGCAAATTCAGTGGTTGGTTCTTCGAAATTGCATTTGGTTTCAGTGTGGTACTTTGCAAACATGACTTTGTTTCCTGGGGGGCTGGATCATACCAACTTTTTCAACAATCTCAAAGTTTTCATTGAGGCTTACTACCCTAAAAATTACTAAAATTGGTTAGTGTTATTTAAAAGGGATATTATTTTACCAAGTAATTGTGTGTGTGTTATCCCAGATAGCACACATATATGTCTGCAATATGTGTGTTAAAGTTGGAAAGCATCTGCTGTGTACAAACATCTGATCAACGTCTCTAAGATGTCAGTTTTACATACGTTCTAAATCATAAACAAACGTCTATTTGACATCAAGTAGGAAACATCCTATAGACGTATTGCAAATGAGCAAACTCTAAAAAATATGTCTTGCAGATGTAAATGCAGATGCCAAATAGACGTCTCCGTGATGTACGTGTGCTATCAGGGTATGCATTTCTGTGTCAGGCTGTTAGCTTAGCAACATGCTAACTTGAAACCCTATTGAAATGAACTGCAAGACGAGTCAAGTGGTATTAGATTTTCTGCCTATGTAGTTTGTTCCAAACCACTCATTTATGAAGTTCTATAGAGTGCAACAATGTCCGCCCACTTTTTCAGCGGCCTTGGTTCTGAAATGGAAGCAGGGACATCTACAGGGGGTAATGAATCATTGGTAATGTAGTTTTTTCAACTAGGAATTGTGCTATTAAACACGATTATTTAAAAAATAATAATAAGTTGAAATAATGTGAGCTGATGGCTTCATCAAAAGCATTGATTAGCAACTTTAAACTCAAAGTGGGTCTGTCTTTAACTGTTCATAAGCTATCGGTAAAATCAGTTCTCCTATGGAGAAAATAAATAGGATTTTTCACTTTTGGAACCCAACTGGTGCATTATATTTTAGTTAGGTTGCAGATTTGGAAGGCAGTTGCCTATGTAGGCATTGAAGAAGTTGAATAGGATTTGGAACATTGCTAAAAAAAAACAAAATGAGGTAAAAAAAAAAAAGCTTTTACAATGCCTCACTGTGGGTTACTCTTACATAAAAATCAATGACGTAGGTGGCCTTGAGTTGGAAATCTAAGTTAACGTTCTGTGTGGTTTCTTTTGTGATTTGAAAAATGTATTCCATGCAGGTTAATCATTTTCTGAACACAATCTTTTTAAAAAGCACTGTAATTAACTTTATCACAGCAGAAGGTGATTGTGAGCATAAATGTGGGTTGTTTGCTGTTTTCAGAGCTTGACCAAAACGTCCTTTGATCTTGAAATGAGCAGCATGAGTCGAGGGATGTGATGACATTAAAAGAAGCCGCCTAACTGGCATATCAATTACTCGAAGATCCGGTGGCCATGCTGGACACCAGATAATAAATTGGGAATCCCTGCTGTCAAAGAACATTGGAAAAAGACCTATAAAGAATTTGTGTCACCAAAGTGGCATGAATAGACAGCAGACAGGCCTGAAATACCAGGGATGGCATCCTCACGATCAGAAGTCATTGGTTTTCAATGAAAGTTCGCAATTTCCAGCAATAATTGGTGAAGCAATGAAGTTAAACAGCTTTTACTAAGAACAGCAGTCAAGTAGAAATGCCTCAGATAGAAAGAGAATGAAAATTTAAAGTTACACGTGTGTCGCAGTGCAGAAAACAGACCAGCTGGCAAGGATTCAAACACATCCAGTTTGATTTCCACAGAAAAGGCATATGTTCTCTCCAGTGTCACCTCCATATTTCTGTCTCTGTCTTTTTGTCTCTATCTCATTTGTTTTTATATAGGCTGAATGCAGAGGAGAGTGAAGCATTAATATCAAAGGGAGAGGTACATTTGTCTCCATGAAGAATATAGTGACGATAATAAATTATCGTCAGCGCCTTGACTGACTTATTCTGACAGTGGTTTTCTTCAGCGAAACCGG